ACACCTGCCAACTGTTTATTAACCTACCATAAATGAGAGAGAGGCTTGCATGTCTGATCTTTGACTTCCTTTAACACCCAAGAAAAAACTTATCTGGTCCAAATGGTTTATTTTCAATCTTTCTCCTTACCAATGTGGGCTTAATATCTACATAATTCAGGTCAATTCCAATATTTCTTATAATGCTCAGGGTAAAGAATATTGCTAATATTAGGAGGTTTCCTTGATTTTTAAATGGTGAAAATAAATTAATTCACACGCCTTTGGATTCCTTTGTCACAAATTAGTAAATTTACACTACAAGTTCAATTTTTATTTAACAATTAATAATCATACCCGTAAATTGATCTTTTTGCACTGCGGGACTGTCTCATTGAAACAGTGCTAAGAAATGTCCATGACTGATAGACAATTGTCACTTTACCTGGTTTCCTGAGACATTATGTGAAACCTGTGATAAGGTGTGATAAAATATAGTCTTAATACAATACTTCAACTGAAGACCCATATGTGTGATATCATATTATATTGATAAATAAAATTACAATTGTCAAGAACCAGATTTTTAAAATGAAGTATGAACTTGTATATTTACCTATTAAGGTCAAGGAGAGATTTTGTATTCACATTGGTTTTAAACTAAAGTAACTTAATCTATGATATGATGTATAACAAACTGTTGCCATGCCAACATACACGTTTAAGTCCGATGATATCACATAAAACAGACTGTTGCCAAGCCAATGTATCTTCTATTTACAATTCCAATTCATCATTTTTTGACATGCTGTCAGTTGGATTTGGACAAACATATATATCAGTTTATGTAATAAAGACCACACAGTTTATTGTATGGCTTTGTTACCACAAATTAAATGGATAAAAAGTATTTATTTATGGTTTTAAAGTTTTATTTGTGTGTTTTCGAATAGAAAATTTTTCTGGATCCAAAGAAACCACCCAGGCCAATGTAGAGCACAAAGAGAGCTATTGTTTGATATATCACTGGCTTTTATTGGTCAAGTAACAACTTGCCAACACCTTGTTTTTGATTCTAACATTCACTTGCTGGTAACTACCATATGGTGGTAGAAAGGTTTAGCAATCATCACAATTTTATTATAATCAATTTGCAACTAGTGGGTGTACAGTTGCCTTGAAATAAACAGTGCAAATTCAGCATGCAATAATACTGTAAACTTTTTTTGTTATGTATAATAATTTAGTATTTTGTTTATGGGAGATTTATATATTCTCAACTGCAACTTTGCATTCATACATTTCCATGGCCTGGAACTGTAATTCTGTGGGACTCCCTACTAATATTTTGCTCATGTAACAACAGAAAAGAAAAAACATCTAAAAGGTCAGTCATTCCATAGTCTTCAACAAAAACTTTGCCTTCAGCATTCTTTAAGAGCTCAATCTGTGTTTTAACATTTTGCTTACCTTTAACATATTAACATATATAAAAATATTTTCTTTTAGTTTAATATTATCAGCAAGCTGTTTCTAATTAGCCCTTTTTTATTTTCTAATTTCTATTTTAATTAGATTCCTAGATCTTGTGTAGTTCTGTGAATCCTCTGTCCTATCTGTCAATTTAAAATTATGATTTGAAATGAGTTGTTCAGCAATAGTGGGGGGTGACTCTTTATGAAATTTTAAAAGAAAACCAATA